ATAATGCTAAAAATTTGAATAAAAAATTGGAAAATCATGAGAAAACCAAAACAAAAAAAAAAAACAGCTGAAACTATGGCATTCAATTATTGGGGCTCCAATTTGACTGGGACCGATTATTGTGCGCCGAATTATCCTCCTACCTATGGGAGTCGGATGATTTTTTCTAGAATTGCCGGGTTCCGGATATATTTAGAGAATCAGGATAGGTATCAACGATTTCCGATCCGAATTGAGCCAATTCAGATCGGCTAATTTTAAACCATTGGTTAAAGGGAGATGATAAACTATCTCCAGTAAAAAAATATTCACAACCACGAGTCCTTGGCCTAAATAATCATATGATAATGATAGATCTTGACTTAAGATATTAAGTAAACTTTAAGTCACATAAGCATGAATTTGCTCCACTCATATGCAATTTCATGTTAAAGATTGAATCATTTAATCCAAGACTTATCCAATGAGAGACACAATGAGAACGAGAGGGTGTCATATAAACTTCACAAATGCTTGAATCAGCTAAAGTGCTCAGGCGAAAGAGTCAAATCACATGAAAAAGATGATATGCACTAATAAGGTAGAAGAAAAAGTTGATGTGCTTTTCTAAGTTGCAATAATTCCATATCTCTCTCTCTCTCTCTCTCTCTCTCGCTCTCTCTCATATGAGTGGTAAAAGAGAAAACAATTAGAAACACATTAAATCACTTATTTCACCATTATATAGATTATAGTTTTGCTTCTTTGGGTATTGAAGGAGAAAGAGGACGTAAAAGGATACTTCAAGTATCACAAAATAATCAATCCAAGAGAAGAATGAACAACATAGAAAAGACAAGAAATCATCAAAGATTTCACAAGAACAGCCAAAAGAAGACATGATAAGTCAATTTAGCTGATTCAAATTGGAATAAAATGGGGCTAGGCTCAAATGACAAGGTAAAAGATCATTGTTTGAAAACATGGGCTTGGATCGGGGCTTTTGAGATATATGTAGTCATTAAAGGCTTTATGAGTGTTTGTAAAATGAAAAATATAAAGTGGAACATGAACTCAGTGGGAGTGTGGTCGCTTGTAGACTATACAAAGTAAATGATATTTGTTGATACCAGACTGTGTTCAACATGTTAGGCAAGTCTAATTGGGAAAAACCCATTATTACATGGGCATAGAAAACTAAACCAATGAAGGTTATGATGGGTCATCCCTTGATGAGTTTGGAGCATGCCGGGATAAGTGAGTCAAGGGACTGTGTGACCCTTGTGTGTAATAGAGTCCCTTAGAGACAGCGCAAAAGCCTCATCTAAGTGCCATCACACGACATGCACATTGATAGCCACTTACAAGAAAGCGAACCACATTTCAAGATGAAGTGTGTGTATGTGCAAGAGATACCCCTATGAATCGTTGAGCTATAGATTGTATCAAGGTCTGAGTGACCTTGGATCGTCTCTAGGGGAGAACCTGAAATCCACAAACTGGGACTACGACTCGTTGCTCATTGGCTAGACTTTGGTGGCCCATTGCCCATCGAGAAAGCATGTATGGTCCGTAGTCCACAGTTGAAAGTGGAGTGCCCCAGTGCACATTTATTCCTAGATCATGTGGATCATTTTCTCATCAAAGTATTTAATTTTGTTCATTTTAATAATATATAATTTTTAGAATTGTTATTTAAATTTTTCTAAATATTTGGATATTTTATCAAATTTAGATTTTTAAAAATGGAGATATTGATTTTTCATTGTTTTAAATATTCAAATAGAATTAACTTCTTCTAAAAATCATGAATTAATTTTTAAAATATTTATTATTGCATGGACAGGGCCATTTGGACGCTTGGGGCCACCATAACAAGTTGATGGGCCCATGGGAGTCCGCCTACGGTGGCACACCCCACCTCCTTCTACTTTCTATTTTGTGAGCTCAAGCAAGTTGGCGTGAGGGTTAAGGTTTGTGTTTTAAAAAATGTTTGATTTTATGGAGAATTTGAAATCAGACATGGAAGGTATGAAAAGGTTTATGCATGAAATTAGAATGTACAATATTATAATTCAATCTCACTAAAATGACCAACCATATGGAAACCCTAGCCTCATTGAAGCACTATATAAAATGGTGTTTTCTACCCATTCAAACACACATCTCTCTCGTCTCTCTCCCATATCTCTCTTAGAGGGGCACACCCCACATAGTAGGAATTCACTCTCTCTCATCCTTTAGAGGGGCACCCCACCTAGCAAAGCTCTCTCTCTCTCTCTCTCTCTCTCTCTCTCTCATACAAAGGGGCACACCCCACCTAGCTTTGGTTATTATCTCCCATCTTTCATGGTATTTGGATTAAGGGTTTAGTGTTGAGAAGTTATCTCTCTCATCTAAGTTATTTAGGGGTAAACCTTAGTTTGAGCTCTAGGCCTTGTGATAAGAGTTCTTGTTCTATTGGAGGTTTGGTGCATATGCTATCCATTTTGGAGATTGAGGTTGACTATTGATCCTGCGCCATTAGAGGTGGTGACTCGGTGTGGGGTGTATTAAGCCTAATTCAAGTAATATCTGACATCTTATTTTTGGTTTTCTTATCATAATTATTGTGTTTATTTGTTGTTATTCCCAAACTTAGTATCGTGGTTTTGATTAATTAATAAAATAGTGGTTTTATTGCCATCAAGTTTAAGATCTAGTCTTGTTCTTCTTTTATTTTTTTCAAATCAATTTATTGTAATGGACTATTTGTAAGTGACCAAGCCAAAAAAAAGAGTTAAAACGGAGAAAAAGAATTATATATATATATATATAATCTATGTTAGATCACATAAGTCGAACTTTCATCCCGAGCATGAATTGCCTAGATTAGGGGAGTTTCAAATGCAACTGGTAACTTTTTAATAAAGAAACTAGTATTTTCTTAGAAAAAAATGGAGACTTAGGGAGAGTCCCTGATCCAGGCAAAGCCTCAGGACTCACAACACTAAACCGAGTTTACTGAGGCGAGTCTCGAGCTGAGTCTTTTATTTTTATTTTTGAAATTTTGTCTAGACTACAAGGGTCTAATATTCCAATCACAATATAAAAATGCTTATACGGAGAAAAATCCAGTAGCATACCAATTAGCCAAGGTAGGGGTCTCTTAGCAATGGCAATATATGCTCTGTTCGGGTGCAAGGATCATAACATTGCAGTTTAAGTTCCTAAACCATCTTGTGTCACAAGGACAACTATGGGAAAGTACTTCCGGAGCAACAATTTAAATATGTAGGAAAAAGCGTATCACCCAGCCGTCCACAGTTCGCATCATAAGTTTGATTGGAGGACTAACACAAACTAGCCGTCCACTATTAAGGTTGATGACTTGGGATAATAGATTTTTCCTACAGTCAATTCATTACGCTCATTGTACATAAACCTACAATTTCAAGTAAATGAGTTGAAACTTGAAACCATCAACAAAGTTTGGCTTATGGAAAGGAATACGTAATCCTCTCAACGACGGAGTTTTGATTATTTCCGTGTTTTTGAAGGATCGACGAATCAAATGATATTTCTATTCCAATTTCTGCCTCTTCTTCCCTCTTTGAATCAGATTTTTCCTTACCATATGAAGTTCCTATAATTTCCAATGATACAAGTCAGATCCTAGATGTAGAAATATTAAGAAGGTGGATCTCTTGTTCTCTGTCGAAACAAATGAAATTGTTGCTGATACACGAAGATGCCACCTCTCCTTTTTTCAAAAAATTAAACAAAACCATAGGGATTTCATGGTCATGATGGTCATCATCGTCCAATCAATTGGTTGATGGCGACGCTGAGAGAGTGGAACCTGTTGAACATAGCATCTATTCAGTTCCACCCTCTCCCCATCTCTGTCCAAGCCATTGATCAGAAGTGATGATCAAGGTTTCAAGAAAAGCGATTTGCACTATTATAATGGCCATTGTAGAGGTAACAGCCTTAACAACATATTGTAATCTAATAATAGGCTATATTTGAATATAACAGCCTTTGCTTCCAAACTCTAATATAGCGGTAAACCACAAGGGATAGCACTGTTCTTAAACATTTATGCTGGCCCTTATACCATATAATGCATGTGCTCATAACATAGTATGCTTTACTTCCTCATGAATTTTATGGTACTTGGGTTATTGAAATCGTATCGTGATTTGGTAATCAATGTCACCTTCACATCCATGGAAATGGAGGTGATCTTCGGGCCTAGTAATAATGGGCTTTTGGTGAAGGTGTTGTTTGATATGTAGCTGTCAACACATTTCTGTTCCTTTGCCTAAGGGAACTATGACTATCACTTGCGGTATAGTTTAGTGTCTCATTACAAAACAATGTAGAAGTATCATTATATCCGAATGGTCTGGGTCCTACCTGGAGAAATATGTGACAGTGTCGCCCATAAAGTCGAAATTTCTCGAGATGGCCTACATAGGATAGTTTGACATTTATTGCAGCAGTTATAATATATATTGGCATGACAGAAGTTGTATTACCTTCTTGATGTTTGAAACAAGCTGACAATTAATCCTTGCTTTTCAATTTTCATAAAAAGAAAAACTCTCATTATAGTCTTAACAAAGAAGTTTTTACTGAAAGTTTTAGTAAACAAATGTCTCATAATCATTTATATCAGTTACACAGTCTACAGGTACCAGCATGTTAAGCTGATATATTTCACAAGAATAGATACTACTTTGTTTTGCCGATTAAGACCCCAGTATATTGGCTGATACGTTTACATATCAGTCCAAGCCCCATCCCTTTGGGACACTAGTCACCCTTTTCTAGGCCCTTCTTTTAACCATAACTATGCTCTAGTCTTAATTTTCCTGCATCTACATGCAATTACTAAAGTACATAAGGACATAGTACATGACCCTATGCCTATATGACCACCTTAGATGTCTAAATGTCTCAATCTCCCTGGGGGTTTTTTCCTCTATAACTTTTCACAAATTCATGTTAAGCAGATGCACAAACACATCAGATAATGAAATAAAATACCACTAGCCACACTACATCTCAATATTTTCAATGCAAAAACATTCCTAGCACATGTAGCATTCACAAAAGATCCTTAGAACTCAGTTACCTGGTAAGAATAAAAATCAAAATAAAGGTCATAGTACATGCCCTTAGAAGTCAGATAGGACGTAATGTCGTCGTCTCTTTATGCATCATTCTAATGACTGTTGTCACCTGTTCAATCTGATCCTGGTTTGTGCATGAGGAGAGAAGAACTTTGGCTGTTCCCCCATCTGGATAGCAGCCAGAATCAATCATTTCTTCAAAAATTTCGATGCATTTCTTGTATTGCTTCTTCCTAGAGTAGGCACCAAGCCTTGAAGTCCAAGTTATCACATCTGGTTTTAGATTCTTCTGAAGAATGGATTGGAAGACTTCCTCCACTCTATCAACAAAGCCCGCTCTACTGTGCACGTTTATCAGTATGTTATATGTGCTAATATCAGCTTCATATGGTCCTTTCTTCATTGCATGTAAAACTTCATCCATCTTATTAAAGTAACCCATCTGACCATATGTGTTTAGCATACTGTTAAGGACAAATGTGTCAGGTTCAAGCCCTGATTTATGCATCTGATTTACAATCTCTTCACATTCTGCAACTTTTCCCATTCTAGAGTATGCAGTTAAGAGTAGCATGTGAGACTTCATGGTCGGTTTCATTCCCTGTCTCTTTAGTTCTTCAAATACAGCTCTTGCATCTATGCATGAAAATGCTCATCAAAAGCATATAATGCTCACGTCTATCCATACATGCCTTGTGAAACAATCCCAATCATAGATTACCAAACTAATATTAAGTATTCCAATACAGTTAATGGCTCATGATAGAGACATTTAAGCACCTCTGGTGTGGCAAATTCAGAGTTAATGAAAAACTCTTGTTGAAGTAATAATCAGAAAAATTCACACTTAGTACCCAATTACTGAAACTTTTTCATGGACCATATTAGCTATAGCTCAAATTCAAGAGCATCTGGTTAAGCGGCAAATGTGCTGTTACTCTTATATATATTATTATTTGTGGACCAACATATAATGGAGCCTATGTTGTTACTGGCCCAGAAATGCATGTTTGCAAGTTGTTTCCTTTTCTTAAAATTAAATAAGGAAAAAAAGGACAGAAAGTGAAGCCTAGAGACTGACACAGCATTGGTAATACATGAATATCTATGGCTAGATCTATAAACTCACTGAACAATAAGAAAGATTTGAAGATTAAATGCAAGTTCAAAAAATTCTTCAATAAAAGAACCATTTCTGTAAACTGTCATACCCTCATGGAGACCGGCTCTCCCATATGCATCGACCATTATATTGTATGAAGCTTGATCTGGTTCACATCCCATGTGTTGCATGAGTGAAAATATTTCAGCAGCTCCATATGGAAAACCTGCACGACTGTTAAAAGGAGGCCGGCATTCATCATTCATCCAAAAGAGGGTGTAGGGAGAAAGAGAGAGAGAGAGAGAGAGAGAGAGACCTATAAGCTTCCATGAGGGCATTGTATACATATACATCAGGCTCATGCCCAGCATCTTGCAAAGCTTCAAATATCTCTTCTGCTTTCTCACACAATGCTTCCCTTGCATATGCATTGATTAATGCAGTGTAAGTGCAAATATTGGGCTTGCATTTTACATTTTTCATCTCATTAAACATCTTCAATGCCATGTGGGAGCGCTTCCCCTGTCGAGACAGTGAAATATTAAGTCATATCTACAAGTTTCTCAATCTCCACAAAGTTCCTTTTTTTTTTCTTTTTAGGGTTTTTTTCTTTCTTTTTTTTTCTTTTTTTTTTATTGTTTTTTTGTTGTTTTTTGCAGAGGGGGGGGGGGAGGGGGGGGTGAGAGTTTAAAGGCTCAGGAAGGAGTTTGAAGTCAGGTCATCTTATAAAGAAGCCTTGTGTTCCACCACCACGCCAAGCGCTCATAGTTAATCTCCACAAAATCTAATGCTAGTTGAAATGCAATAAATGTAAGATGGAGGAAGAATATTCACCCTTCCGTAGAGATTGATCATCAATGTATAGGTATCAGTTGATGGCTGGCACCTATTCTTCTTCATCCTCTGAAAGACCTCTTCTGCTTTAAGTGTGTTTCTTCTCTTCACCAAGCCATCAATATAGGCATTGTACACAACCACACCTGGGTAGATGGGCAACTCATTCTGTGATAAAAAATCATTTCTTAACAAGAGAATTGATACACGCATATGTAAGTGAGAAAAAAAAGACAAGAATAGGAAACAAACTTATTTGATAGCACTATGAAACTCTAAAACATCAAGGCTAAATCCTATTGTGATTATTTACCAGCAATAACTTTTAAATATCCAGATACGGAGTTTAAAGAAAATTAGAAGAATCATACTTGACGCCAACCCATGCTTTCTCATTTCCACAAAGACAGCCTCAGCCTTCTCTAGCAATCCAGAATTGCAATATGCTCGTATAAGAAGAGCATAAGTGTCCTCTGTCGGAATGCATCGATCCTCAAGAAGTCTCAAGTAAACTGATTCTGCTTTCTTATACTGGGAATTATGGCAATAAGCATCTATAAGCAAATTATAGCAGATGACATCGGGCCGGAAGGAACTCTTCTGAAGTATCCACTCACAAACCTGAAATTGTTTTTCAGGATGAGTTAGCCATACAAACTAATAATTTCAGGGTAATTAGTAAGAAGACCATGTGATGTTACAACAAGAATGTCCTCCTATTTGAAACAAATGTGCATGTGAATATATTAGTCCAAAAAGAAGTGCTTTCTTTTGAGAATGCTGCAAATTTTTCATTAGCTCAGAAAACGTCGTACTAGACCAAGATCATAATTCAACACAAGATTTGTGCTACTTGTTGAAAATTTTGATATATGAATCAGATGTAATTTTTAGACATGAATATCCAGGGACATGAATGGTTGCTCATCTCACCGAGATAATATGATCCCATTGTTTCTTGATACGAAATTGAACAGCAACATTTATGAGGTCATCCCACAAGTCATGAGTAGTTGAAACATTGCCCAGTAAAGCCCACAATTTACTATTTTCGGGGTTCTTTTGGACAAATTGCAAAAGGTGATGAGCATTGGGACTTAGTACAGGGAAAATTCCATCAACAAATCCAGAACCATACTTCCAACCTCGTCCCCTTAATGAACCACCTGCATCATGAATCACAGTAAACACTGAGGCAAAAACACATGTTGAAATAGAATTGGAGACTGGCTTTGAACAAGAGTACTTAACAAACAAAAGATTGTACTAGAACAGAGTCATATCTATTGGTAATAAAACAGAGACCTATAGAAATATAGCATGTGTAAACAACTTATTGTACATTTAAAAAGTAGTATCGTTAGAAATAAATAAACAAAGAAGTAACTAAGAACTAAGTTGGAAGTAAGGATAGAAAATATTTGAGATTGAGTGCATGTGAATGGCCTTTCTTTTCCTTTTGATTTGTAAGCATGGGGTTAATATTTGAGATTGAATGCATGTGGATTGCCTTTCTTGTCCTTTTGATTTGTAAGCATGGGATTTGAACCCTCATCCTACAAACATCGAATGAGATTTGACATATCCTGTAGCAATGAGGTAAGGAAATACAAACCACTCACAACGTAATGGAGACACCAGTTATTTCTTTTCTTTTCATTTTATCTTCCATTTTTTTATTTTTTTTTTGTTTTTTTTGTTTTTGGCTGTGTTGGGGTGGGGTGGTTGCGGTAGGGCTCGATAGTTGTTTAGTTTCCTTTCTTCTACATTGAGAAAATGCAACACCAACATTATAAATGATATGCTGTTTCATTGAAAGCATTGAAAATGATTAGAGTACCCCTCTTTCTTGAGAGCTTTTTGCTATTCATGCTCCTCCATGACCCACGTTTGTCAAGCATGATGGTTTCCGCATCTGACATGTCTTCAACGTCTGGGGCTTTTTTATTTCTTTGTCTACAAGTCACTACTCTGCATTTGGAATCGGTCAAAGAACATAGAATGCGATAATCAACCTGCAACCTACAGCGACGACATTCTTACTTAGTAATTCCTATCGATATTTTCAGGAACACATAAATTATGATGCAATACAAAAGTTCATGCAAGAAACAAATAAATAACATTAAGATTTTGAGGATGAGCCTCAATAATGCTACTTGAATCAAAACAACAAAGATGAACTCATAGGATTCCAGCTTGGGCTTGATCAAGTTGTTGACAATTGCAACACTGCAGCCCAAGTTTACATCCCAAGTTCAAATCCTACATCTGAAATATCCGTAAAAGAGAACAAAGACATATTCATGAGCATACAAGTATCTGAAAGGTCAAAAGATCAATGTATACATACCAAGAAAGATAAAATTCAAGATTGTAAACAATAAAAAAATACAATTTTTCCATGAAATGGACCGTTTGCTAGTAGGCATCCATTAAGATTTACTATAGTACAATTACAAGCTACTAGTATATCCTCTCTGGCAATAAAAAATGGCAGAAGTACATAAAATTCACATTTGAGATTTCATCAGCCCTCATCATGAAAATCACATTTGAAATTTTTTGAGCCCTCAACTAACAAAAATTGATCCAGATTCCAATGGACTTGTATAGTAAGCTCTAGGCTAGTGGCACCTAGGTGAAACATAAAAACAAATCTTGATTCCCATGCATTAAGGAATTCTATATTATAAGCTCATTTCCCTTTTATACAATAAGGTCACAATCACTCTTAACTATCAAATAAGAAATTAGATAACCAAAGATTTGACACTGAGTTTGAAAAATATCTTGTGCTTTATGAATGCTCAATAGCACACTCCTAAGTCCTAACGGCCTGAATTCAAATGACTAAACAACTCCTCATTCAAAAATTACAAAAATACGCTAAAAGCCCCCAACTCCGAAAACTCAACCTGAATATCAATAGAAATTATTCCAAGAAACCAAAACCTGCCAAAACTTGTCCAAAATTTCAGGAAATTGTGAAAAAGAAAATGCATTCAGTATTGTATTGAAATTCCAAATTTTGGCCGCTATTTATACAGTTTGCTAACAGAATTTCAATGGAAATAACAGATTTCGTGCAGATTTCTGCCAAAATTATCACGGAAACATTGAACAATGATCTACAAACATAGCTCTCACAGTATTCTAGCCAATACTACGTCTTCAGCTTTCAGCAAAAAGAATTCTTTCAAGTAAAATTATTCCATTGAGTCCGGAGAGAGAGAGAGAGAGATGGATAAGGGTTGAGAAGACTCACATTGGAGAGAGAGAGAGGTGTGTGCATGCAACCGCTGCAATGGAAAAAGGAGCCACGGGATTTTATGGAGTCTCACTGAAGCGGACAAATGGTGTGGGGACGACCAACGATATTTATCACCCTCTCTCTCTCTCTCTAGAGCAACGATCGCAACATAGAACCAGGGCGGTTAACCGGACATGGACCTCGATGCGGTTCATCCAGCCTAACCGGAAAACCGGCGGATTCAACCGATCTAACCGTACAAGCCGTGGGGACGATAAAAGTGTCGAAAAAAACATAAAAAAAATCTATTACAAAATAAAAAGCATATAAATAATGATTAAAACATAACACATTCAAATAAAATAAAAAATTAATAAATAAAAAAAAGTAGATTTTAACCCATTTTATATTTTACAAGTGCTATTTTTAAAAAAAATTTAAAAAATGAGAAAAAAAAGTGAGTATTAATGACCAAAACAATTTTCAATGTTACAACAATGTAAAGAATATTTAAAAATGCATGACAAATGAAATTCTTTATTTTTGAGAATTTGTATATTTTTTTACTTTAAATAATGGTTGATCACCCTAACCGTCCAAAACCGAAACCGGCCACTGACCAATTCCGATCTAACATGGCGGTTAGCGGTTAGATCGGATGATTTTGCAAACAATGCTCTAGAGTACACACAAATATCACATTCTCTCACACTGTCGCATCCCTCCCTAGTGCTGAAAAATAGAATTTAAAAATCTGTGTAGGAAACTGTCAATCCGAAACTTTGGAAAGAATCCGGGGTACCTTGGCTCACCGGGCCAGGCCTTGCGCTTGTCCCCTTTGGGTCGACACAAGCCTGGCTTGGTGCCTAGCAAAAAATGAATGAAAAAAATTAAAAACAACAAAAACAAGAAAGTCAGGTCGGGCGGACCCTGGTTGGTATTGGCCCTAGATTGGCTTTTGGGGCATAGTTTGTAGCCCAAGCCCTAGTCTTTTAGGGCTACGAAGTTGGACCCATTGCGAGGAGTAAGGGAAGGTTTTTCCTATGGGCTTGGTTGGTATCCATCTTATTCTTGGTGAGGTTTGTATAAGGTGCTGACCTCATACTATACAACTCGAGTGCAACTCTAGATTTTATCGGGAGATGTAATTCCGACGTCGAAAACTTTGTGATGGCTTCAAAAATTCATATTCTTACGAAATTGAAAATTTTAAAAACCGTGCAGATTTAGCAAAATTATAAATACTTAGAAATATTAAAAATAGACCGTCTAGATAATTTATTACAAAATGCAATATTTTTAGGACGTGTAATTCTTTTTTTTTCTTTATATCAATTAGAAGAATTTCCAACTTCCTAACACTCTTTCTACTAGATTTTTTAAGTGCACTATAGTACTAGGTTACAACATTATATAAAAAATAATATTTTTTTTTTTTTTTATGTTGATTCCCTCGGTGGATAATCAATGCGATGGGATTCTCCATGGATCAGCCATCCAGATCAATCCACCCAGCGACGAATCACACCACCATATCCAAATTTCCACCACCCAGCGAGCCAAAAACACCGGCACTTACAAATATACCATGCCCCAAGTGTTGGGATCGATTGGTGAAAAATCAACAAGGGTTTATAACATTCACAACTATTGTGCATTCATACCAATACAAACAAGCAATGGAAATTACACAATATCAAAGCAAGAACATGAAATGAAAAATCCAGCAACATTCAATCTACAGAGCACAAAGATTTAACGTGGTTCGGTCACAAATCGTGACCAACATCTACGAGAAAATAGCACGAGACTTTACTTACTGATTTGAGAAGATTACAATGTGAAATCGATCTCAAAGTATCTATTTCCATTAGCCCTTTCTCACTCTAAACTGAGCCCAAACTCAAAGAACAAAGAACACCTAAAAATAGATTTTCTTTAACACTTTCTTACTAAAACAAGGCATACAGCAAACCCACAATGGATTTCAAGCCTTGGTCAATTTCTCTCTCTAAAACAGAGCATACTAAGCTCTCAAGAGAAAACCCCAATCTCTCTATCATTTTCTCACTATTTATCTCTCTAAACAAAAATCCATCTAAAAGAGTAAAGTTCCTACAATACCACAACCATTGGATTAGATGCAATCCAGTGGGCCAAAATAAAATAGAGAAAAGTTAAATAAAACTCCCACATGTGGGATTTGTTTTCACACATGTAACAATCTCCCACTTGAAGATAAATCACAAAGTCTTTGAAATAATCACAAATGCACCACTCTCCATCCACCTTAGGGTACGTCTCCTCCAATCCCAAAAGTCTTCTACACATCATATTCTTTCCAATTGAGACAACCTTTGTTAACATATTAGTAAGGCTATTCTTAGTGTGAATCTTGTCCACCTGCAAATCTCTACGCTCGAGGGTCAACCGAATAAAATGATATCTAACATCTATATGTTTTATCTTGAAGTGATAAGCCGCATTCGTAGCTAGATGAATCACATTCTGATTATCACAATGCACAACATAGTTATCATGTTTCACCCCAAACTGGCCAAGTAACCTTCTCAACCAAATCATTTCATTCGTTGCCTCAGTCAATGCCACATACTCAGCTTCAGTTGATGACAAGGCAACAATATCCTGTAACCTGGATATCCAGCCGACTGCACCACCACCAACATTGAAAATGTATCTAGTGGTAGACCTTCTAATATCACAGCATCCTACATAATCTGCATCTGCATAACCAACAACTTCTACTAATGAATTTCCAAAACACAAGCATACATTTCGTGTCCCCTTCAAATACCGAAGAATCCACTTAACTGCTTGCCAATGTTCCCAACCTGGATTAGACATAAATCTGAAAACAACTCCCACTACATAGGCAATGTCAGGTCTAGTACAAACCATTGCATACATCAAACTGCCATTACAGAAGTATATGGAATATTCTTCATCTTACTACTATATACCTCATTCATTCGAGAATCCCTTTTAGACAACTTGAAATGTGCAGCTAATGGCGTCGAAACATGTTTACAGTCAATCATATTGAAGCGCTCAAGAACATTAGAAGTATAGTTAGATTGACTTAACCAAAGCGTACATTGCTTTTTGTCTCTATGGATGTGCATGCCCAAAATCTTCTTGGCTGGTCTAAGATCCTTGGTGGCAAAATGCTTGGACATATCAAGCTTGAAACGTTTGATTTCACTCAGATTATTGCTAGCAACAAAGCATATCATCAACATAAAACAACAAAAGATTAAAAGAATCATATGATGAACCCTTGAAGTACACACAATGATTAAAATCGCATCTAGAATAACCTGCACTCAGTATAAAACTGTCAAATTTCTTATACCATTGCCTAGATGCTTGTTTCAAACCATACAATCCATTTTTCAACTTGCAAACCAAGTTAAGATTAGTTTTGCTCTCAAAACCTTCAGGTTGACATATATAAATTTCTTCATCAATATCACCATACAAGAAGGCAGTTTTAATATCAAGTTGTTCGAAGTCCAAATTCAAGTTAGCAACCAAAGATAAAACAACTTTAATAGAGCTATGTTTAACAACAAGAGCAAACATTTTATTAAAATCAACACCTGGTTTTTTCCCATAATCTTTCACCATAAGTCTGGCCTTATATCGCATAAAACCATTTGCCCCCCACTTAATAGCATATACCCACCTATTATTATTCAATGCTTTCTTCCCATATGGAAGTTCTATCAACTCCCACATATCATTCTTATGCAAAGCATCAATCTCCTCATTCATTGCCTTATGCCACTTTTCAGCATTATAGCAATAAATATACTCCTGAAAAAACTCAGTTTCACCACTATCAGTATACAAAGCATAATATAAGGAATGAAAAAACTTTTGTGTGGACGTGTGGATCTTCTCAATTATGGCTGAGGTGTAACTGGTAGTCCTGCTTCATCTTGAACTAATCCAGTGTCATCCTCATAACTAGCATCACCTGTATCAAAATTGTCTTGAGCTTGAGCTTGACTCTCTTGCACTTGTCAAGGTGAAACAATGAGATTCGGTTATTGTATATCCACAACAAACCTTTCTTATTTTGGCTCTTCCTGCTTCTTTTCAGGAAACATTACATTTTTATTAAAGAGAACATCCCTACTTTTGATAGTCTTTTTTGCAATAGGATCTCAAATCCTACAACCTCTATCATCACCACCATACCCAAGAAAAACACATCTTCTTGACTTGGCATCCAGCTTGGCTCTATTTTCACTAGGCACTTGAACATAAGCTTCACACCCAAATGTTCTTAAATGTTCGTATAACTCACTTTTATCGCTAAATAGAATTTTAGGTATCTCACCATTCAATTGTGTACTAGGAGATCTATTGATCAAATATCCATCTGTATTAGCAGCTTCAGCCCAAAATTGCTTACTAAGACCAGATTGTAATAACATACTTCTTACTATTTCAATGATAATCATATTCATCATCTCAATGACACCATTTGTTGTGGTGTCCTAGAAACAATCTTTACTCTGCGAATGCCATTCTCTTTACAAAAAGTATCAAAAGCATTCGAGCAATATTCACCACCATTATTAATTTGCAAGCATTTTATAAATCTCTCTATTTCTTTTTCAACCTTGGCTTTGAAAACCTTTAAAACTTCAAAAACTTAATTATTAGATACCAATGGATACAACCGACACTTTCTAGAATAATTATCTACAAAAGTGACAAAATAAGAAGCTCCACCAAGAGATTAAACATTAACAAGGCCACAAACATCAGAATAAATCAATTCTAATTCTTTACTTTTTCTATGAGATTCATTTCTTTTAAAACTAATTCTACGCTGCTTACCCATGGCACAATGATTACAAAAATCAATAAATGAATGTTTAGAAATAGGAATAAGATTTTGAGTTTGCAATACCTTCATACCATGCTCACTGAGATGACCCAAACGACTATGCCAAATCTACATATCCTCATGCTTGCTAGCTGCAGCAACAATCTTCTCTGTAGCATCATTCCTTTGAGTTGTGCTATGAAGAGTGTAGACACTCCTATCTTTTTCCCCTTTTAATATTATCATACGACCTCTTGAAAT